CCCAGCTCTTCAGTAATTTCCCTTGTGGATGCTCTTGGGTTTGCTTCTATCCATGCCTTCAATTCGTCGTCTTTAACTTCCGATGGCCGACCGCGTCCCTCCTGATCTTCCAGGTTGAAGTCTCCATTTCGGAATTTGTCGAACCACCTACGCGTGGTGCGCTCATTTGTAGTACCTTCGCCCCATGCGTTGGTGATATTCCTAGCTGCTTCCGCAGCATTACGGCCGAGTTTGTACTCGTGAAGCATGATGAGTCGGATTTCGCGTCTTGACAACATCTTCGCGGGTGACCCAAAATCGTAGAAGAAATGGTGGCAGAGAAACGGGAAAAAATTTGTACGATAGCTTGAAAAATGTGCTTCCGAACGATATATTAAATTACTATATTTGCCTAAGTTTTCAATGAATTATGATCAGTGGAACATAGCAGGTGCGAAAACGGTCATTATTTTTGCCACGACCTAATAGCATCTCTGCTTCTCTCTTCTTGCAACCTCGCCATAGGAAGACCTGTGTAATTCTCGTGTATGCGGATGCTTCATCGAATTTGCTTAACGCTTTGACTGAATCGTCGTGTTCAGGCCCTTCACAACGTTCTGATCCGTTGAGGGCCTCATCTTCCGTAGCGGTCCGACTTTCTGTCGGGAACCCGAAGAGAAATGCAAACGGTTCAGAGAATCAACCCACCCAGGTTCCACAATTTATGCAGAACTGTCCACTACCACGCTTGAAAGTAGTAGCGGATAATTTGCCTAAATTGTGGAACTTGGGTGGATTGAAGTGTAAGCTAATGCATGCTGTACTGTCTCCTTATATCAGCAATATGTGGGAAACGCATGCATGGCTGAATTTCAGTGCTGTATGAGCGGCTAAGGTCATCTGGTTGTTGAGGAACGCTCATTCCTACTGCTGTCATCATTAGACGGCTTTCTTGCAGAAATCCAGAGAGCCTCTGAGGATTTTTTCGCCCACAATTCCTTCTTATGCGCCAACGCTGCGCACCTCACATACTGGCATTACGTTTCGACATCGCTCGCCTTCTCTGCTCGGCGCTCCGTCTTACCGAAGAATATAGCTAGTCCTTTTGAAGACTCTTCGAGCACAGAATCATGCTTCTTCGTCTGAAAAGGCTGGAATGATCACAAGTAATGCTGAGATATGAGGTAAGAAGTGACTATCCGACAAGAATGCTGAGTTAGCAAAAGTCGGACGGCAATGGATGGTCCGACTTTTGCCCATATATAAAAATCAGGCATTCTTGTGATAGACTTTCGATGCGTACTCGCGGTCGGTAAAACAGCAGTTATAAGCAATAACACTAATAGGAAATAATTTGTTGGATGTCCAAAACCAAATTTGTGACCTCATGGGAATGCGACTAAGGGTTCTCGATAAGTAATGTAATGGCCGGCGTTAGGGAAGCATCCGACCCTGATCAAGGCAGGTCAGCCCTCTGGCGACAATCAACTGGTTAGGGCCAAATTGTACAGTCTCCTCCAAGGACGGCCGCACCCATGTGCAAGGTGAACAGGAGACGTGGTTGCAGTAGCGTGCGACCATGTCCGCTCAAAAGTGAACGGGAACAGGGCTGGGGAAGTAGTGGTACCCAGATACCATATTCATACCCTGCCGACGCTATCCTCAATGTGCAACACTTGCGTCGATAAAAGATCTGCGAAGTGGAATACGGCACTCAGAGTATGAACATAGGTACAAAAGTTAGAGAGGACAGGAGCGTATTAAGTTGGATTTTTGGACGACGGCCGTACCGCCATCTAACAATAATGTTAGGCCGAATTTCATTCAACATTCGATGTCAAATGGGTCTCATAGAGGCAAGGCGATACTAATTTCAACTGGAATTCCCACAAAACTGTTCTGCCAATTGCTAAAGGGTAGCGTCAAACTGCTATGTTGAGGCCGCTAACTAGAAAAAACTCAGTCTCTGGGTATCCATACTACGTCGAACGTTAATTCTGAAGCATATACCAGTGGCAACTCACTCATCACTCATACAGATCACAATATTATTTCGTTGAAATAATCGCATTGGAGCCGGAAGACCTTTGCCCAGCTTGTCGCTTTGCTCGATTTCCACAAGACGGATATCGGCTTTATCACTCTACTTTCAAACTATCGATTGGTGGGAGCTTTTCAGAGGATATGTCTCAATTGATGACTTATACAATAGATTCACGGTTGCAGTTCATTCTGGGTTAGCCACACACGTTCCTTTTCGGATCAGAGAAACTCCGCGTTTACATATCAAATTACTACATTTACTATTTTTAATTTGATCTCTCAAAAGAATCGACTGTTTCATAACTCGAGAAATTGTGTGGATGATTCTCATTACAAAAATGTTTGCAGAGAATTAGACTACCACTTAAGAAGATACTTGGCAAATCAAGAAAAACGAAGATTCAATGGCACACGCAGTAATGTAATCTTTTCTTGGGTCAAGGCTAAATTGAGGCCTAGTCCTAGCTTACCATTACTTCATGATGAATTTGGAAATGCACATGTAGATGATTACCAAAAAGCTGAAGCGCTGGCTAAATTCTTTAGGATCGATTTTACTCCGATGAAGGAAGATCTAGACAATTCTTGGTATGCTGCCCACCTTGATC